CTTGATTAAGATAAAGTATAGTCCAATATAATATTAATATTTTTGTATTATAAGTTGTAAAGTTTAATTAAAATTAGATTAAAAGTCTTTTTTCATATAATTTTTTTCTTTTTTGTAATTTGTTATAATCTCATAATTATTAAAAATATTAAAATTTTCATTTTTATGCAATCTAATTATGAAAAATATATAATAACTTTTTGTAATCAAATAAATTTAAATCTTAAATCTTTATTTGATAATTTATAAAGTTTTACTACTGAACTATAAATCTATAAATTAATGTTTAATATTACTTATAATTGAATATATTATTTAATTTATATTATTTTATTGCTATATAAAATATTTAAGATATATTTATAATTAAATCAACAATTTAAATATTTATATTTTAATTATTATTTAAAATAAAATTTTTTATAATTTTTTATTAAAAAGATATTAAAAAAAATTTTTTTTTTAATCCCACAATCAAGTTAATATTATTTATTTATTAAATTATAAAAAACTATTACACATACAAGAATAAATACAAAGTATAGATTTTCTCGATTCAACTTACTTGTCGACAACTGAAGCCTCTAGATGTGATTTATAAGGGTAATATATTGTTTCCTTAAAGGATAGAATTAAGATCCCAAGCTTTTAATAAGATCAAAACTTGAAGATCACCTCTATAGTCATGACTATACATGTTTCCTTATTACTATAAAAGGAAATTTGATCGACAATACGATTCCGAATTAAATACGATTCCCAATTATTTACTAATTGTTACTTAGTAATACGAACATAATACGGTTTTTGAAAAATGTCTGAATTAAATACGAACACATGTATAGTCATGACCATAAACTTAAATTGTCTCACTCTCCTCTTATAGAAACTACGCAACAGGAAAAAGGAATAAAAAAGGATTTTTTTGAAAAAAAGAAAAGAAAAAAGCTATTGTCTATTCTAACTATCATGAAAAAGATTATCTTAATAAACTTAGTCCAAACCTCTTATAATTTCTCACTTTTCACCACCTATAGCTAGTCAAACTGTTTAATTTTTATTGGGGTAATTGATATTCAAGAATATTTAAGGGCACTTTCAAAAGAATATTTTTTGAAACTTTATACTTGAAGATTTCTAACCAGAAAGAATATTGGTTTTCTATTATTGATTTCTCTCTCAAGCCATGTCTTTTTAAATTATTGCTTTACTCAACTGGTAGGTAGTTTCAAAATTTCTTTCTTTAACTATTTTTAGGATAAATATCAGTACTTCAACTTGTTATCAGATTAAAATAGGACCTAGATCTTATTACTACTTCCTGTTCTCAAGAAAGAATAGGGAAGAAAAGAAAAAATACAAGGATGGAAACAAAAAGAGATTGCTTCTTTTCTACTTATAATTTCTATTTCACTTAATACTCCTATACTACTCCTTATAACAAATCTATAAACGTCCGGCAAAAATCTTAATTTTCTTCGAAAAGTCAGATGACAACCTCTCAAACGATCTTAAAAGACTATAGGTATTTTGATTAAAAGAACATCTTTTATTAATAGCCAAAAAGATATTGTCAACACCAGTTTCTTAATAATTAAAGATTTAAACTTCCAACCAAAAAACACTAATAATTAGACTTAAACACATATTCGAAGTCACATGACATCTGCCGATCTCGAAGCTCCGAAGTGAAGTGAAACCTGAAATTTATAGTAATTATTAATCCAACATGATTTTACTAATTAACATATGTTATCAATTAGTAATTGATATCAAGGGGTTATAGGATATTATTAATGTGTTTGATTAACATTAACATTTATTTATTTATTTATTTTCTTTTCTTTTTCTTTATTAATTTATATGATCTCCAGGAGAACCACTAAGATTATATGTATATTATTCTATTTATTTATATTGGGAAAACATGTATTTAAAGGTTGTATTTTTTCTTTAATTATCTTAAGAGTTGTCTACTCCACTCTCCATTAATAAAGTTTTTCTTTAATAATGATAAACTATTAATACCCAACATGTTCCTTTACTTAAACTATTACACTGGCACCATAACCTGTTAAAAGTGCTGTTTTTCATAAGAAGCTATTTTACATGCTGATTCAGTGGGTATTGAGATTGTAATTTTCAAAAAAGGTGTCGTGGCACAACAATTGTCTGGTTAGTATTATGATGATTGTCAGAAGTTGCAAGGTATATAAGGTGTCCACTTTTGACAAGTAGGTTTGGTGATCCTTTCTTTAATATCCAGCATCTTTCATATAGATCTCTCTAGTCTTATCCCAATCCAATAATAAACTGGTCTGGCAGTACTTATCCCGAGAAGGCTTCTAACTATAAGTCCTGTTTTCTGCAATATGTAAGTCAGTGTTTAGGTGGTAAGTACCAGTTATAAGTACCTTGAACATTCTTGAGTATTATTGGACAGATAAGAAATTAAATAGTTAATTCAACTATAGATGATGATAAAGGAATTTATTTCTAATGAAGCAAGCAGTAATTATATAGCTTTATTTGCTATAGATATTACCCCTAGTGTCCCCTTTCAACTTCCTCTTAATTTCTTCAATTAGAAATAAAGCTATCTAATTACTAATAAAAATGCATACTACTGGTCCAACAAAGAATTACCTTTGTCCAATAGATTAGCCTCTATACCTAATATAGTTAGAAACAAGCTATAGCAAACATTGTTATTTGGAGCAATCCCGATAAGTGTTAGGTATAACTGACAATCGATATGTTATAGCATAGTCCTAGATAGTAATATCTAAAGATATATATAAACATTATTATAAGATATAAGTATTCAACTAGACAATTATTACTAGTACACTTTAAAAAAATAAAATAAAATAAAATAAAAGTTTGTTCAAATTAATTAATTCTTAAAATAAAAAAACTTTTTTCTACTTTCTCTTCTATGCTTGAAAATATTCTTTTTAAAAAATTTTTGAGTTGGTTATTTTTTTTCATTTTTTTTTTTCATTTTTTCATTATTTTTTCTCTTCTATACCTTTTTATTTCTCTTTTTTATTTTCTCTCTTTTTTTATATATACTTTTAGATATACTTTATCTTTCCTTTTTTTTTTTTTTTTTTCTGTTAAAGTTAAGTTTTCTTTTTTTCTTAAAGGTTTTTTTTTTAAACTTCATTTTCTATAATACTTTTCTAGCCAATTAATTTTCTTTTCTTAAAGATTATATTCAAAAATAATAACTTTTCTTAAGACATGGACTTTAAAATTTTTCTCTCTTTTATAGTCTTATAGAAAAAGAATAGAAATAATTTATCTTTTCAAAAGATTGACATAATCATTATTATCAAATCCAATATTGTTTACTTGTTAATGGTTAGACTAGATATATCTAAAAAATTAGTATATAACTATTATTATTTAAAAATATTTAAGGAGTTGTGTTTACTGTATTTAAAGAAATATAGTAACCAATACCAATATAGCTAACAATAAGTTAGGTTAGTTTGCAAGTATTATATTAGTAATTGAAAAATTTAATAGAATAATATATAAAGATTAAAGATTATAATTACCTTTATAATATAAGCTGGTAATGACAATAAAAGTTTCTCACTTATTCTTTTTATAATATAGGTTCATTGTACAAGATTAGATATCAATACCTTTAAAAAACTTCAATTCTACTATATATTCAATATTCTCCTTAACAAATCATTACTTTATATTCAAACTTTCTTTATACTTTCCAATTTCAACTTATTCTAAAATCAAAACATATTTTTTAAAGCTACTCCAACAGTAAGATTAATTGCTGTCCTCAGTCTACAACTCTAGTAATGAGTTTTAAAATAGGGATTTATACTAGGTAACAATGGTGAAAAATTGATATTGCCAAAGAGTTACCTTGATGATAAAGATGATTGCCACCCTTCAGTCTTTAGTTTTGGTAATAGGTTTGAATAGAGAGTCAATACTAAATGCAAATAGTAGAAGACCAGCTTTATTTTAGTATGGTTTGAATTTAGCATAGCTTAGAACCAACTCTTGTCTTGCTTATTATATATCAAGCCATAATTGAAAAACAAGTGTGCCAATCATAATTATAACTTAAAGGTCAACTTGTATACAGTAGCTGCAATACCTTCATGTAATTAGATAATCAAATTCTCTAGGTAACTAAATATCATTCAAGATATAATATAGGTTTTGAATTTTTTTTTCTATATTTTTGAGTAATGCTAAGGAGCTCAGATGAATGAACTACAATTGTTGAACCTTGTATTAAACTCATATTAGCAAAGAAAGATATATACTATGCTATAATTTGTAAATCTTGTATTTGCAAGTCTAAAATTTATAATAAAAATAGCATGTGGAGATCACCTGTTCCTTCAAAAAAAAAAAGTTTGTTTAAATTTAATAAAAATTTAACCATATATAGAATTCATTCTGAGAAACAAGTTTACTTAATATATAAAAATTATTTTTATTAATAAAATAAAAAATTTACTATATAACAATAATTTCTAGAACTATTTATAAATATAATTAGTTAACTAGCCGGTTAGAATCATTACTCCCGTGTCTTTTATTTTTGATAAAAAATCTCTGCTCATACAAATTGTATACATATTGTTTAAGAGTAGAGACTGGAAAAATCATATTTGAGTAATTCTTTTTAAATGCGACAGTGATTTTTCTGATTTCATAACTGTAATTCCAAAATTTATATTGCGTATGTATTATTCAAAAAATAGGGACCAAAAAATCATACATAATATTTTTGTCATTTTCAGAAATAATTATCCATCTATCATTTTGTCGCCGACAAATAGAATTACCATATTCCTAGACATTGATGATAAATTTCCACACATGCAAATAAATCAAATTAAATCTTCACCAGGACAAGGTGATTCAGGATATGAAGGCAAGGCATTATTAGTGACTTTCTTTTTTTCTCGGTCTTTTTGTGGCGTGTCTTCAACTTCAGATTTATATACCTTTTAGTCTTCAATTGATTTCTTATTCATCAGCTTAACAGTCCGCAAGACGTCAACCTATGATAGTAAAAACAAAGTATCATCAATTCCATGCAAGAAACATCTATAAATGTTTAACCATCCATTACCTGAAAATCCATAAGGATTGGCATACTTTTGGCGAATTCTTCCATATCATCAAAAGTCATAGGTATTTTGATGTTAACAAATTCTTCATACAGATATATTGAAGGTAAAGGCCGTATTAAATATTTTATACTAATATTTCCATCTTATACGAAAAAAGATTAAGTAAGTAACCAAGAATCTTTTATTAACGAATATTTAATAATGACACTTACTAATACTTTGAATAGTATAAACTCGTGCTTTCTTACATGGGACATTATTAAGTAGTTTGTTTAAAATCCTTTTTGCATTGCGACTCAATTTCACTTGATCGTCATTATCCTTGTTTTCTGAAGCGTATTGACCATGTGAAAACTCCATGATTATGATTGTCTGTGTAAACTTTTTCATTTGAAAAACTCTCAAAACCCCATCGATCTTATGGGACTTTGTATCTCTAGTAAATATTTCTATCCTAAATTAATAGTGATAAAAAAAGAAACGATTAACAATATAACTCGAATTAGTAGGAACTTATATAATCGGTACTTACCAGTTTTCATCGAGAACATCGAAATGCATACGGAAAATTCTATTCATGATATATACAATTGTATCGATCGCATAGGCCCTTTCCAGTTTTGATGATTTTGAATTTATATTGCATGGAGCTTCCAACCGCACTGAACTATTTTATGTTTATGTATTATTGATGTCAGTAACCATCTGAAAATGCAATTGTAACTTCATAAGCAAAAAGTGCTTACAAGTGTCTCATAATGTCCTGCGCAATGTCGTGCCCTTCATGAACAAAGGGATCGAAATGCCCTGTAACAAAGGACTTGCGTACCAAAGTGGGGAATTGTGCACGATTACATAAGTGGTCCGTGAACTGATTGCAATAGTCGATGAACTCTGAAGTTAAAGTCCATGTTTGTTTATTGAGAACCCGATCAAACCACTGTTGTCCTTCGTCCAATTTATTTAACATTGATCGAGTCATTTTCTTCAAATTAGCATTCGAAACATCTATTATTCCATTTAAGAAATTCGAGTTCATCAGTGTTTTTCCCGATTTTAAATCCTTTGATTGGTTCTGACGGAGAATTTCGAGCAAGATATTCCGAATTGTCAATTCAATGGTGCCCAAACCCTTCAATTCCTAAAAATTGGATAGAAGTGAACACATTGATTATGCAAAATAAAGCAAAGGTTAATTACCTCAAATAATTCGTCAGGTAACTTGTGATCTGATATGGGATCACTATCTGAATCGCAAAGTTCTTGTGACTCACCATTATTGCCTTTGTTCTTATGTACGTAAATAAAGTTCGCAAAGTCATTCGAAAAAAAATTACATTTATTTAAGGATAATAGTACAATTACCTCTCGGTTCCAAGGTAGCATGGAAGCGCCAGATGCACCTGATGAATAAATTCTATGTTTGGGGGTTCGAAGTCGTTGATCTTGTTCGTTCTGCTCAGAAAGAATCTGCGAGGAATAGTTCCGAGTATCTGATCCTTCCATTGAGCTTCTACTAGTAATTATCTCACCTTTTTTAATCGAGACGAGTCACTTTTCGTTTCTTTTCTATCTCGTTTTCTCGAAGTTATATGACAATTGTCGAAATTTTGTGTTGAATCTCCGGTCAGATTGTTTAGTTGACTTATAGTCCTTACCTAATTGACAAAATTATTATTTTATCCTTTATCATAGATTTTCATACTAGAAGAAGCCTACCCGTAGATTCATATGAATGCAATCCTTTCTTACAAGATCATTGTATAATGCAGTCCAATCCTTGAAAAAAATTTTTTATTTTATTATACTTGCGAGAATCATTTTGTAATAATTTATGTACATTGAGTAAAAAGGCTAGCTCTCAATCAATAAGTTACCTTCCATTCATCCAGGATTTCTTGTGCTTTTTTTCTACGTATCATGTCGAACTCAGAGTCGGACCTTGTTACCCTAGCGAGATCTTTTTTGATCCAATCTAATACCTTCTTCCAATCTTTTTTCTCCGTTTTATTACGATAATATGCCACCAGGTTAGTACACGTCCAATCTTCGATCTTGTTAGCATGATAAAAAGCCATGAAGGCTGCCATTGAATGAGACATTCTTTGAATATGAGAGTTGAAGAAGAATTAGTTTTGATAATCGGATTGTTTGGATTACGCGTTCTAAGCCACAATGATTGGCGTCACTCGTGTTTTTTATTCACTGAAATCCTACTTGTCACATGGTGTGTTTCGAATAATTACAATTTATTGCATTCACCGGATTGTCGTACAACTTGCAGTACCTACCTAACGTCACGTCTGAACAACAGCGCAAGCTGGGACTCTTAGTCTCCAGTCATGAACTCTTAGTTCGGCAAAACTGTTGGGACTCTTAGTCTAACAAGGATGCTTTTATAGCAATGTGACGTTAGCGCTAGCTGGACTCTTAGTCTACAGTTAGCAAAAGCTGGACTCTTAGTCTACAGCTTTTTCCTGATTAATTTTCCGACTTACAAAAATAAAAACGTGGACTCTTAGTCTACAGCTAGCAAAAGCTGGACTCTTAGTCTACAGCTAGCAAAAGCTGGACTCTTAGTCTACAGCTAGCAAAAGCTGGACTCTTAGTCTACAGC